TCCCCCACAGCCGATTGCTGCTGCCAGTGGAAGTGCCACCAAGGCTTCTGTCAGGGGGGACATGGCAAATCTTGGGGTGCATGTGCACCTACATGAACCCCCTACATGTCACCAGTGCTATTTGGTTCAAGCTGGTTGACCAGGTGACCTATCCAGATAAATTCCTGAGGGGAGGGGGGAGCTCTCTCTTCTTCCTCCGGTGGGCATTTTGAAAAGCCACAAACAAAGTGCCTCCCGGCTTCAGCCTGGATAAATTCCTGCAAGTAAAAACTTGGAAATTAGCCAGGAGTTAGGATTTATGTCTATGCAGACATATTTTAAAAAGGGCTACTATGTCCAAGACTGTGTATGACTCTGATTGATTATATTTGCTTAAAGTGCGTTCTGGCTTCCTTGCTCTACCCTCCCCCCTTCCCCCCCATCAATAAAGGATGGGGTTACAGCGTACCTGGCTATTTCACTTTAGGGGTGAGAGGCAAGCCTTTTGCTCCTGGCCTGGCCACAGAGCTTGGCTGTTTATGTTCCCTCAGTCATACCTGAAGTTATCTGGGGATGCTTTGGACTGAAAGAGGCACCAAGAAATATTACCAGTGGGCAAAGCACCCCCAAGGCTTGCAGGGTCTGTGTGCTGCACAGTGCCCTAACAGAGACCAGTGCCCTGGTGTTGGCAGCATTGCCCCAGGCTTGTGGGTGATCTTCAGGAAGGGGGATGGCCAGGTAGGCTCACCAGGGAGACTCCTGAAGTATGGTTTTGGGCCTGGCAGAGTGAGGAGGCTGGCTCTGTGTAGTAGTGCCCCCTACTGTGCCACCACAGGTGGTGGGGTATATCTGTGCACATTTTTATATATAGAATTTTTAAGGGGCTTCAGGGAAAAAAGTGTTAAGCACTTAAAGCCAGAACCAGTTTTGTTATATAAATAAAATTCTTCGGGTAGAATTTCATTAAACCAACTAAATAGTTGCAATTTTTTTTTCTTTGCAAGCTTTCATGCTCTCATGCCCTTCATCAGGCAAAGGAAAAATCAAAGATGGTAAGCATTCTTCCAGGTAGAAAAGAAGCTTTATCTGGCAAAGGAAAAATCAGAGGTGGGAAGGGTTCTCCCAGGTAGAAAAAACAGTTTGTAAGGTGCTGCTCTGTAAGAATGCAAATGAGGAGCAGACAATGGCTTTGTTTTTTTTTATGTAGGCACTTAAATAGGACTTAGGTTGAACTTAAGCACTTACGTTCCAAAGAATGATTCAGATTAGCCCTACTATACAATCCACAAAAGGCCTGTAAGTTCAGGCACAGCCATTATTTTGGATGGTAAAAGTCCCTTATTGTCTGCACTTGGGCTACCGCATATGCTGAAATGATCCAGTTTGATCACCTAAGCATCCAACATCTACCTGAGCTTTCTTTATAGTCCAAACTGCAAAGGTGCTAAAGAAGTATTTAAATCCCAGGAGACAAATGATTCATTAGGTGTGCCTAGTGGCACTGACAGTGTTGAATTTGGTTCAAAAATGGTAGTTTTTCATAATGACTTGATGGTGAGATCACTCAACCAACCAGTGGGAAGTCTGTACCCCAGTCCCTGTTTCCAGGTTTGTTTCTGTATTTAAGTAGTAACTGTTTAAAATGTATAAAGTGTGCTAGAACAACACCCAGAATTGTGATGTTCCTTCTCTCAGAGGAATGCTGTAGCTATTTGTCCTTGGTGGAGGGCTGCTTAATGAGTTTTGGTGAGCTGTTGAGGTCTGCAAGGGTATCTCCATCCCTTGACAGGTGCTCCACCCCCTAATTGCTATCTTGGGACCAGAAGTATGTTCCCTAACTGCTGACCTTTGCTACTGCAAGTCCCTTACCTTACCCCTGGAAATATTGCATTTGAGAGGGTAGAGTTGCCATCTTGGAATCAGAAGAAACCAAAGCATATAATAAAAGTCAAACACCTACTATAACATATTTTAATTTTATTACAAGAAACATTTTTGCCATGATTTGTGTTTGTGTACTGTGTGTATAGGTTTGTGGGGTGTGAGGAAGGGTTTGTTCCTATGTTTGTTCCCCTTTTCTCTTTTTCTGAGGTCAAGTTAACAGTCAGAGAAGCCTGAAACAAAATGGCCACCTGGTGCCTAATGGACGTGGGGTGGAAGTGAAGGGTCAGGGAAGGCTTTATAAACCTAAGCCCCAAGCCAGAGGGTCAGTCTGGCCATAGGAGCTATGGGGACCAAGTTCCTGATGGAAGATCCCTGGGGCAGGACTTGAGACTGCAGACGAAAGACTCAGAGTGGCAGCTTAGGTGGAAGAAAACCTCAAAGTCTGTACTGAAAGCAAGATAAGTAGTCCAAGCCTCTTTGGTTTCTGTTTTCACAAGCACCGCTGTTGAGTAAGGCTGACCCCAGATGGAGCATTTTCTTTGAGTTGAAGCAGACACACGATTTAGGTTCCCTTTCTCTTTTTGTTCCCAGTGGACTGGATTGTGGCTGTAGGGGAGGTGGAGACCACTGATAGGGATGCCTGGGGATGCCCCAAACTCTAGGCGCAGTTTTCAGATGATGAAGGACAGAGACTGAGGCATAAGCCCTGAACCTGTAAGGGGCAGAGCTCACCAAGGACTGAGTGGGGGAGCAGACTCAGAACTCATGAAGGTGAGACCTGTGATCGCAGAGGCCTGTATAGGGGACCCATCAGGGCCAGGGAAGGCCACAGGCATGACCAAAGCTGAGCCAAGAGTTTGCAGTCCTGGGCAGTGGGCCCCAAGCTGAAAGGCTCTGTCAGACTAAAGGTGGGACGAGGCCAAGGGGGCCACAGTTCAGACAAGGATCTACTACCCAAAGCCCTCTTTGTCCTCAAAGCAGCCTCCCCTTGTCGATTCATTACATCAAGGCATGGCAGGAAAGATCACAGGGGGGAAACACCCTGGAGGAACAAGGGAAGTGAGATGGGAGTGGCCCAGGAACCATTCTGGCACCCATAGATGCATTACAATCTCTGATTCAGTTAGTCTATCAGGTTCATTTCCATCCTGCCTCCTGCCTGACTTCAGACTAACATGGCTAACTACTTTTCTAGTGTTCCCAAATACTGCTTGTAGCACAGTCCCACTCTCTCCCTGCACATCTTTTCCATTTGCAGAGGATAAGCTTTTGAGAGCAGAGGACTGTTGTTTGAGATCTGGATCCTTTATGATTTATGTCTGGATCAAAAGAAGGTTTAGAGATTTCCCTGTTGCTATCGACCGATTGGAAACAGATCCTGAACCCAGCAGGCTCACTCTGATAAAGTGGAATGCTGGGGATTAAAGAAGCTTCAGCGAGAGATTTGGAAAAATGTACTGCTTGTAAATCTCTTGCCTCCCCTCACAGACACAGAATAGACTCATGTCACTTGAGTGCTCAGGGGATTTTTTTTGGTTTTGTTTTTATTTTAAACTTCTAACCTTCGTGGGAGAGCTGGATTAATTAGCAAAGCAGCTCAACTCCAAGGGATCTTGCCGTCAATTTGTTACTCGTGTGGGTGTTCTTGTATCCAGGAAAAAGCCATCTCTGCTGTGCAGGGACTGTGTTAAACTGTGCTCAGGGAAAGACCAATTCAGTACTGACTGAAGGCAATGGGACTTTTAGCACTGACTTGAAAGGTCTGCTCCAATGCCTGTTTAACATGGCCAGCTTTTCAGAAACACTTGTTCTGCGAATGCTTACCAAGATGTGTCCTAATTTACTGTCTGAGCCTATGGCTGTGTGTTACAGTGTTAAGTATGGCTATCTCTGGGGGGTGGACAAAGCATGACCTACCCCAGAATAATCACTGGAGTAGCTGAAAAAATTATTTTCATCAGGTTTAAGCACCCAGTTTCCACTGAATTTCAATATAATTTGGGTGCCTTGGTGGTCCTTTCAAAACCCCAGCCAATATGACTTCACTGGGAAAGCTTGTTAAGGGCCAGAAACTGGAGCCAGGTATCCTAGCTCCTACTCTAGTGTTTTACGTGCACGGCCACCCAACTACCTGTCCATTGCTGCTGTAGCTTAGGTCTAGGGTGACCAATTTGAGAATGTGCAATGACCAACATGAGCTGTGAATGGTTCCCTGTGTAGAGAGGACTGTTCCAGTGCTGGTATTCTTGAAAGCCACCCTGTATATTGAATATTTCTATTTCTTTTTAAGGACCTTCCTCCTCTTAAATTCCTTCTTTCCTCTAGCCAGCCAACTAGGGTCTGCATTCAGATGCTAGGTCCAAATCCTTTTGTGTTCTGGTGAAATTTGGATCCAAATATGTTTGACTCACTGCATTTTCTAATATCCAGCATTTGTTGCCAGAGTTTGTTTCACTCCTGTCTTGGCTTCCTCTTGTCTCTCTCCATTATTTATTACTTCCTTTCTCCATCTTCACACACTCTCCTCACCAGTCAGCAGCCCCCCAAGTCAGCTCCACTCTCTCATTTACTAACCTATCTTGGCTGTTGTCACGTGCCTCTTCATTTGGAGATATTAACTCTTCCAACCTCTTCTACCTTTTAGAAATATTGTATTTTTAAAATCCAGCGACCCATCCAGCCTGTCAGTCCCATGACATGGGAGTGGGTCTCCCATCCAGAGTGTTGTGTTGCTTAGCAACATATTTCTCTCTTCTCTGATCAGTTATTTCCCTACCACAATGTCTACTGATGTAAGCACAACAAATAAAAGCAATATTAAAGCAGCAATTGCCCTTGTCCATGTTTACTTATTATTTATTAGTACTGCTGTAAAGAGGTCTGTACACATTTCTTTACATCCCACCTTGTTTAAAAGAGATCTGATTTTTCCATCCCTTTGTAGCATGCTTTCATAATTAATGGGAGCTCACCACAATTCAGTGAACATGATATACAATATGGCTAATATTTTCAAAAGCAGTCTCTAATTTTGGGTGCCTTCATTTTTCAGTCCCCAAGCTGAAACCAGAAGGGCTTAATCATTAGAAATGCCATGAACCAGCCGCTCCCACTGATTTGATTTGGAGTTATGGGTGCTTATACCTTTGAATAAAATCAGAACTGAAGGGCCTTATACTGGACACCTCAAATGAATTCACCAATAATTAATTAATATATTTATTATGTTAGCCTTGTTCCTCTTTCTATCTGTTGCAAAAGGATTAGTACAAGTTCAGAGTGAATCAAAAAGATTCCTTCCCCCCTTTTCCCTCTGCCCCAGGGGATTTAGGGTGCAGATCCACTTCCTACTGCTCTTTCATCTTCTTTTCCAGCCTATATTTTCTGTACTGCACAGTAGTTCCAAGTAAACAAGTTTCCTTTCCTTATTTGTAGCTAACCTCCCTTGAACTCTTCAGTATAGCAACAAACTGCCTTGTTTTTGCTGTGGGCTGATTCATGTGCTGCTGGACTTGTGACTCAGCTTGGATCTGACGCCAAATGGGATTTATTCCACTTGTTAGGCCTGATGGACATGCAGTGTGGGGGAACAAAATTTGACAAGTAAGAGAGAACTTTTATACAGTATTGTAATCATGATGTAGCATTGCTTTCATATGCATGGCTACCATTGCCCTCTGCTGGGACGCACCAGAACTGTTCGTGTGCGTCTTTTGTACCAGAGTCGTTTTGGCTTCCTGAACAGAAAGCTGTCCTTTGCCTTATTAAATCCTCTGTTTTACTCACAGAGCCATTTGGATGTGTCTTAATGACAACCATGCAATGTGTGTCTATCCAGACACCCTGATCATTATTACATAGTGACCGCTGTTCTGTAGCAGATAGAGGTTTGTCAATTAGTGGAAAAAGAGATGATAAGAACTAATCAGCAACAGAAGTAGTGTTCTCACCAGCAGAGCTCAAACTGAGCAGGAGCTTGGGAGTGAAGAACAGAGGGTGTGTCTACACATGCTATTAATGCAATTGAATAAACTCCAGTGCTGTTTGCACCAGAATTTATTGCTCCTGGGTATTACATGTACATGTGCACCAGGGACCGCAGCACATTGAGCCATGTTGGATCAGCGACAGCTGGCAAAGAGCTTGGAGGGTCAGCCTGCCAGCCTAGGGCTGCTCCGACCCAGCTCAATGTGCTGCAGAGAGACTGGCTGGGGCACGAGGGTGCTCCAGTGCAGGGCTAGCTGGCAGACAGCCCCTGCACTGAAGCACCCTCATGCCCCAGCCACATGTATCAGCATCTACATGTGTGGTGTGGCAGAATGTTAACAAGCACTAATCTATGGTGGAGTTAATTAATTTACTCAGTCCTAATAGCACTGCATGTGTAGATGCTGAGATTTACTGTGGAGCTAATGAGTCAGTTGTATGGTAAACGTCTTGTGTAAATGTGCCCAGAATGTCTCTTGTTTAACTGAAGTAAACTGCATTGTGGAGATGAAAAAAAGCCAGGGAAGTTTATCTTGGCAAATGGTTTTCTATGGGCCAGCATCAAAGTGGACAGCATAGAGAGCTCTGCCTTCCTTCATTTCCTAATGAAAACAGCCTTTTGGATGGTATATCAAGATATAGTGCATGTATTTCTATGGGGTTAAATAAATTGAAACCTGGATCTAATCTAATCCACATCCGTTCTTTAAATTTTTACACTTGGGACAGGAAAACAAAAGCCTTAGATCTAAATGCTCTCAGGCTGAGGATTCAAATTGCATTTTAAAGCCACTGTCTCCCAAGCTTTGAGGTACTCAACAGGTGTATTTGCAAATTCAGCCCCTTATTAAACAAGTGCTTTGGGGTTGGTACTCACAACCCAACCTGGATTGGACCCTGGAGCACAGAACAAGGATTTTATTACTTTGGGCTCAGGTGTACTAACATCCAAACCGTGCTTCTGAACTGCGATAAGGGCTATTTTCTCTTGGGTTCTTTGCTTTTTAAAATGGGCAACTTGCATGCTCTCAGGTTAGAAGTACTTTAACTTATAGGTGTCCTGCAGAAAGACAAATGACCTCCTGGTAAGAATGCAGGATCTGCTGGTGGCTCCTATATTACTGTGAGCAACTCACTTTATCGCTTTTTGCCTCAGCTTCCTTAAATCCCAGCTGGGCACATAATAATATTTGCCTCACAAGAGTCTTGAAAAACTATTAGTGTTTATAAAGTCCTCTGAAATCTTTGGGAAGAAGCCGGTATACAAATGGTATATCATTATCTTGTAATAATAAAACTGCTATTTATTGACCCTACCTTAGGTTTCCTAGGCAGGGTAACGTCCCTGTACCTTTTTTATGTAAGTGAAAGATTGTCTTGCAAGACACAGATAATTGCTGGTAAATTAGTGAAGAATAAAAACCAGAACCATTCTCAACTTAAAACAGGCTTATTACACTCCCTATAATCCAGCATCTCTTGATGCATTTAATTTATCCAGTGCTGAAAAAGGAAATTAAACAGGTAACATCTACCTTGGATGTTTATTTTTAGGTAACACTTTTTGTTCCCTCTCTTAGCAGCTGTATTACCTTCATCCTCC